TCTGACCAGTTCCACATTCTGCTCTTCTGGACTGGACTGGGAGCTGATTGCTCTCTGGTTAGATGTTGTAGCTGCTCTCACTTTAATTATATGGAATTCAGACAGTGTGTTGAAGTGTGTGACATCAGTAAATTGTGTTCAGTAACACGTCCATAATGTCAGTAATTGAAGACATTGTTCTTATTGTCCAGCCCTGTATTCAAACATTTCAAATTATACATCATTTCACAAAGTCTTTGATTCAGTGAGAATGTTTCTGAATATGTGAGCTTTAATGAATTTCTTTCTATCAGGATCCATCAGAGACCAGACTGTCCTGAACCTGAACCCAGCTGTGTGTCCATGAATAGTGATGACTCTATGGATGAACGTATATTCTTCAAAGATGGCCGCCACTCTGTTGATCAAAGGTGAGGATTTCAAACTGATGATGAAAATAAAATGATGTATTTTTATCAGACTTTCAGTTGTGAAATCTCTGTTTATAAATGTTTTAAAATGTCTTTAATGGACGGTGATGGTTTGTGTCTGATCAGCTCAATTTACAACAGCCTCAGTTTCACAGTGAACAAATAGTTGCAGCAGTTTATAGAAACTCACTGCTTTGACACCACGTCTGTTCCTCTTTTATCCTAATATGACCGATATGGTCACTCCACTCCATCATTTTCCCGCCTATACTATGCACTGAATACTATGGGGTGCCGTCTGTAAAGCGGCTCACGCTGAAAATAACAGCAACATTTTGTCACATTTAGCATCAAACAATGTTTAAAAAACTGGTAAGAATTTTTGAGGGTCACTTTTTTGCACATTTACAACAATATTTGTCAACTTAGAGATATTTTAAATAGTTAAATCCAAATATTAAATGTTACACCTAAATGTTAAATCTAAATTCTAAATCTAAATCAAAATCTAAATGTTAAATCCAAATGTTAAATGTTAAATCTAAATGTTTCAGGTGAAACTAAATATTTAACTAATATGCAAATTCAAAATGTCGGTAACCGGAAGTACCAAAATAAAAGCTCGAGGAGGTCAGTGTGTGTTTATAGTGTCAAATAACAATAAAGACCACCGGGGAAATGGACTCTTGGACATGGATTATCGTGATGATAACTACCTAAAATAATAAACACATTTGGAGAAACTGTATTTGAAGAGTGCTTTGAGTTTTTAGTGTCACTTTTATGAACGGTGCGGGACTTATAACCCTGAGGCGGTTGCTGTCGCTGTTGAAAATTTTCGTATAGCCGCCATTTAACTATTTAAAATATCTCTAAGTTTACAAATATTGTTGTAAATGTGCAAAAAAGTGACCCTCAAAAATTCTTACCAGTTTTTTAAACATTGAAGCTAAATGTGACAAAATGTTGCTGTTATTTTCAGCGTGAGCCGCTTTATAGACGGCACCCCATATAATACAGCTTTAAAATACACAGTGAAACATGTCTAAATCAAACACTGACTTTATAGAAATCCTAACCAAGAACTCCCTGGGTACAAATACACTGTGTACAGTCGGTGTATTCAGTCACTGGCAGGTTCTGTCTCAGTGTGTTGTGGGTGCAGTGCAGAACTGATCCTGTTTTTCTATCAGGAGGAAAAAACCTGAACCCAGCTGTGTGTCTATGAAGAGTGATCGCTCTATGGTTCATTCTTTACACTTCAAAGATGGCCGCCACTCTGTTGATCAAAGGTGAGGATTTCAAACTGATGGTAAAATAAAATGATGTGTTTTTATCAGACTCTCAGTTGTGAAATCTTCAGTTCTTAAACCTTTACTGACTCAGATGAAGTTCTCTGAGCACCAACACTCTTTCAGCAGCAGCTGCCTCACACTCACACAGTCAAACACATTCACACTGGGAGCTGCCCAGTACAACCAGTCTGATACAAGCAGACACTGAGCAGCTCCACTGGAGCAGCTGGAGGCTCTAGGTGCCTTGCTCCAGGGCACTTCAGCAGTGTACAGTGAGGGAGGGAGAGCTATATGGAGGGGTTGGTGAGAGCTGTTGGGACTGAACCAAACTGAGCTGTTGATTCTCAGTGGGATCAGCAGGACTAGTAAACCTTTACCACTACAGGGAGTCATCAGATTCACTGTTCACATCCAAATATCACTTCATGGACCTTTACCTTGTGTTTGTCTCTGTGTGGACAGACATAATGTGAGCTCATTCTTCATGATTCCTCCACAGAGTGGACCAGGAGAGCTCAGAGGTTCCCAGTGGTCAGTCTGCCCAGCAGCATCAAACACACCTGGACTCCATATTTATGGTCTGTACATGGACAACAACTACTTTTACATCTATTGTGTTCACAATAATCTCCATGCTGCACTTTTTAGACCAGTGGATTGTCAGTCTGTCCAACATGGATCTGATGTTTGCTTCCATGATTTGACTTTGATTGAGTCATTCATATAATATTCTGTTCCAGCTGCTGGAGGACAACATTGTCACTTTTGTGAAGAACGAGCTGAAGAAGATCCAGAAGGTTCTGAGTTCAGATTACCCAGAATGCTCAGAGAGTCAGAGGGAGGATGAGGAGGTGTTGGATGGTGAGGATGAAGAGCAGAGGAGGAGCAGCAGAGAGGCATTTCTGAAGATCACAGTGCACTTCCTGAGGAGAATGAAGCAGGAGGAGCTGGCTGACTGTCTGCAGAGCAGTAAGATGATTTTAACAGATTGAACATGTTGGAAAGAGGAAATGGAGGCAACATGGGAGAAGTTTACTTTTAAAACTCTGCTGATAATATGATGCACACATTGTATCAGATCTATGAATTCTTCTGGACTGAAAACAGAAACTACATACTACATCCATCAGATTTATTGGAGCTTCTACTTATTAACTGCATTTCTTCTTTCTTCATTCAGGAACTGTTGCTGCAGCGTGCCGTCGTGAACTTAAATCTAAGCTGAAAAAGAAGTTCCAGTGTGTGTTTGAGGGGATTGCTAAAGCAGGAAACCCAACCCTTCTGAACCAGATCTACACAGAGCTCTACATCACAGAGGGAGGGACTGCAGAGGTCAATGATGAACATGAGGTCAGACAGATTGAAACAGCATCCAGGAAACCACACAGACCAGAAACAACAATCAGACAAGAAGACTTCTTTAAAGCCTCACTTGGAAGAAATAAACCAATCAGAACAGTGATGACAAAGGGAGTGGCTGGCATTGGGAAAACAGTCTTAACACAGAAGTTCACTCTGGACTGGGCTGAAGACAAAGCCAACCAGGACATACAGTTCACATTTCCATTCACTTTCAGAGAGCTGAATGTGCTGAAAGAGAAAAAGTACAGCTTGGTGGAACTTGTTCATCACTTCTTTACTGAAACCAAAGAAGCAGGAATCTGCAGGTTTGAAGAGTTCCAGGTTGTGTTCATCTTTGACGGTCTGGATGAGTGTCGACTTCCTCTGGACTTCCACAACACTGAGATCCTGACTGATGTTACAGAGTCCACCTCAGTGGATGTGCTGCTGACAAACCTCATCAGGGGGAAACTGCTTCCCTCTGCTCGCCTCTGGATAACCACACGACCTGCAGCAGCCAATCAGATCCCTCCTGGGTGTGTTGACATTGTGACAGAGGTCAGAGGGTTCACTGACCCACAGAAGGAGGACTACTTCAGGAAGAGGTTCAGAGATCAGGAGCAGGCCAGTAGAATCATCTCCCACATCAAGACATCACGAAGCGTCCACATCATGTGCCACATCCCAGTCTTCTGCTGGATCACTGCTACAGTTCTGGAGGATGTGTTGAAGAACACAGAGGGAGGAGAGCTGCCCAAGACCCTGACTGAGATGTTCAGCCACTTCTTGGTGGTTCAGTCCAAAGTGAAGACCATCAAGTATGATGGAGGAGCTGAGACAGATCCACACTGGAGTCCAGAGAGCAGAAAGATGATTGAGTCTCTGGGAGAACTGGCTTTTGAGCAGCTGCAGAAAGGCAACCTGATCTTCTATGAATCAGACCTGACAGAGTGTGGCATCGATATCATAGCAGCCTCAGTGTACTCAGGAGTGTTCACACAGATCTTTAAAGAGGAGAAAGGACTGTACCAGGACAAGGTCTTTTGCTTCGTCCATCTGAGTGTTCAGGAGTTTCTGGCTGCTCTTCATGTCCATCTGACATTCATCAACTCTGGAGTCAATCTGCTGGCAGAAGAACAAACAACATCCCAGTTTTCTGAATTAAGTAAAGACAAAGAGAATCTAAAATATCTCCACCAGACTGCTGTGGACAAGGCCTTAGAGAGTCAACAAGGACACCTGGACTTGTTTCTACGCTTCCTACTGGGCCTTTCACTGCCGACCAATCAGAATCTCCTACGAGGTCTGCTGACACAGACAGGAAGTAGCTCACAGACCAATCAGAAAACAGTCCAGTACATCAAGAAGATGATCAGTGAGAATCTCTCTGCAGAGAGAAGCATCAATCTGTTCCACTGTCTGAATGAACTGAATGATCGTTCTCTAGTGGAGGAGATCCAACAGTCCCTGAGTTCAGGACGTCTCTCCACAGATAAACTGTCTCCTGCTCAGTGGTCAGCTCTGGTCTTCATCTTACTGTCATCAGAAAAAGATCTGGACGTGTTTGACCTGAAGAAATACTCTGCTTCAGAGGAGGCTCTTCTGAGGCTGCTGCCAGTGGTCAAAGCCTCCAACAAAGCTCTGTAAGTACAGAAAGAGTTGGATTTCTGTATTATCACTTAAATACTCTGCTATCTTTTCGCCTTAGAGAGATTATAAAGACATTATATATCACCAACATTGGGAACTCCTCACTAGCTGATATCATTTTTACAGAACTAATTTAAAGTGTTTTTGGTTTTGGCTGAGTGATAAAGTGCTGGTCACAAATGTTATTTTTCTTATTGTTGATCATTGTCTCTACAGACTGAGTGGCTGTAACCTCTCAGAGAGAAGATGTGAAGCTCTGTCCTCAGTTCTCAGCTCCCAGTCCTCTAGTCTGAGAGAGCTGGACCTGAGTAACAACAACCTGCAGGATTCAGGACTGAAGCTGCTTTCTGTTGGACTGAAGAGTCCACACTGTAAACTGGAAACTCTCAGGTCAGGATTTGTCAACCTGTTCAACTGATAACCACTTTAAACCTGAATTATGTTGATGGATACAATTGTAATCTTCCTAACATTGTTTTGTTTATTTAGTTTGAGTCTATTTCCTTGAACATGTTTATTTAGTAATGTGTTTGTAGCACCCCAACACTCAGTAAATGCTTAAGTTAAAGCAACTCACCTTGGACTTAAATGATGGGGTGTTGGGGTTTGATTTATTAAGGTAGGTACCACGAAGGTTTACCTGTTTTGTGTGAAACTTTTTATGGCCTAATACTTTATGAATAACCAACAACTTTGTTAGACTAAGCAGTGGCTCTATTCACACGTACTCTACACTATTTTAAATAACTGACCCCAGTCAACTCTTTCAAATAAATGAAATAATAGTTAACCAACCAGTTGTTTTCCAGTTTAACACAAATAATATTTACTTTGTTAGTTAACAGATGAACAAAAATGAAATAACACAATTACTCAAATTAGACTTCTTTAAAATAGAAATATTATAGTTGTAAACAAAAGACCCTTTACCAAACTTGCAAAACACTGTAGAAAAATAGACACTTATAATAAGTAAAATAGAATTGGCAATATCAAAATACTATTCAAAATTCAAATAATTCCAGGTCTCCGGTAAAATTCCTAGTTCTTACCCCTTAATACGATTTCCCTATACTTATCAAACTCAGATCAAATATGCTACTTAACTGAACTCTAAACAAAACAGTGGGCCCACACACACTCACACGTACGCACACACACACAAAAACAAAAAAGGCCTGTGTGTTGCTCGGTGCGGTGCAGCAGGCAAATCCTTATCCTCAGTGACAATTAACAGTCACAAAGAAAATCCAACTCACGGTCTGGAATAAGTCCTGGAGAAACAGTTAATGAAGAGATGAAGATGAAAGCCAACGGCAGCAGAAGTAAAGTCCTCCTCAGGAAGCGTGAAACAGTCCTTCCCGTTCAGCAATGGCGTCCTCTTGGGTCGATTCTCTCGCCCCTTTTCTGTTCACTCCCTTACCTACGGCCAACTACCAACAGGTGACATTGAGTGATAACTACAGCAACCAATCAAATGAAACAGCATGAACCAATGACACAAATCTGAAAATTCATGTTTAGTTTACCACACACTTTTCTTCAGCTACTATACAGAACAGTTTAATGTAACTACTTAATTAACTATTTACACTCTACTTTATTTATTATGAATTTATGTTAATCTATCGGTTAACATTTCATCTTTCACTGCTTTTAACCTAAATTACTTTCAGTTTATTTGCAATACTGAATTATTTAATTAATTCACTGAAACAATTATTTGTATTACAAATTAACTTGTTTTAACCCCTGTACTTTTACACTGGACTACATGTTGTTCTGTGTGTTTGCAGGCTGTCAGGCTGTCTGATCACAGAGGAAGGTTGTGCTTCTCTGGCCTCAGCTCTGAGCTCCAACCCCTCCCATCTGAGAGAGCTGGACCTGAGTAACAACAACCTGCAGGATTCAGGACTGAAGCTGCTTTCTGTTGGACTGAAGAGTCCACACTGTAAACTGGAAACTCTCAGGTCAGGATTCATCAACCTGTTCAACTGATAACCACTTTAAACCTGAATTATGTTGATGGATACAATTGTAATCTTCCTAACATTGTCTCAAATCATTGTTTGGTTTATTTAGATTGAGTTTCTTTCCTTGAACATGTTTATTATGTAATGTGTCGTTTTGTGTGTTTGCAGGCTGTCAGGCTGTCTGATCACAGAGGAAGGTTGTGCTTCTCTGGTCTCAGCTCTGAGATCCAACCCCTCCCATCTGAGAGAGCTGGACCTGAGCTACAATCATCCAGGAGACTCAGCAACAAAGCTGTCTGCTGCACTGGAGGATCCACAGTGGAGACTGGACACTCTCAGGTATGAGGCTGATCAATACAGTAGTAGTAGTCAGGTGACAGAGGAAAGGTGATGAAATTTCAGTTTTTCTGGACCAATGTCTTGTTTCGACATTGGAAAATAGGACAGTGGTTTATCCTGATGGGTTGGTGAGCATCATGGTGGGTTGATATTTGTCAATGTTGTCACGCTGCAGGTTTGTGGGCTCATATCATAAATAGTTTGGGATATTTTGATGGATGTCATCTGCCATCAGCGTGTGTTACCTTTTAGTCCAGAAAAACTAAAGGCGTCACCTAAACTACAATTCAGTTCAGTTCAAATCAGTTTTATTTGTATGTCACCAATTCATAACAGAAGTTATCTCAGGACAGTTTTCAAATAGAGCAGGTCTAGACCGATCTCCTTATAACATTATTTACAGAGACCCAACAGTTCCCACCATGAGCAAGACCTTGGAGACAGCGGCAAGGAAAAACTTCCTTTTCTGCCCTGACAGAGAGAGAGAGAGAGAGAGAGAGAGAGAGAGACAGAAAAACAGAGACAGAGAGAGAGAGAGAGAGACACAGACACAGACAGACAGAGAGAGACACAGAGAGACAGAGAGAGAGAGACAGACAGAGAGAGAGACAGAGACACAGATAGACAGAGAGAGAGACAGAGAGAGACAGTCAGACAGAGAGAGAGACAGAGAGAGAGAGACAGACAGAGAGAGAGAGAGACAGAGACACAGATAGACAGACAGAGAGGGAGACGGGAAATGACTGATGATGATGATGAACATGAAGAAGATGATGAAAACGACAACAATGGTGTACAATAATAATAGTAACTATAATAATGATTATAATAATAATAATAATATCAGTAATTTTGAGGCTCCACCAGGATCAATGAGAACCTGCGAGACGAGAAAGCACAAGAACTCCGGGGAAGAAGTGAAGTTAGTAACATGCATTAATGTTAATAGATGAGCTCAGTGCACCATGGGAAATCCCCCGATAGTCTAGGCCTATAGCAGCATAACTAAGGGATGGTTCAGGACTCACCTGATCCAGCCCTAACTATAAGCTTTATCAAAGAGGAACGTCTTAAGCCTACTCTTAAATGTGGAGAGGGTGTCTGCCTCCCGAACCACAACTGGAAGCTGGTTCCACAGGAGAGGAGCTTGGTAACTGAAGGCTCTGGCTCCTGTTCTACTTTTAGAGACTATAGGAACCACAAGTAGCCCAGCATTCAGAGAACGTAGTGTTCTAGAGGGGTAATAGGGTACTATGAACTCTTTAAGATATGAAGGGGCCTGACCATGAAGAGCTTTGTAGGTGAGGAGGAGGATTTTAAATTCTATTCTAAATTACTACTGATGTGAGATCAGTTGTGTTTAATGCAGGGAAATGTATATTTGCTATGTTTTTTAGAAGATATTGAATTTTCCTGTGTTCTGAGCAGTCCTTGAACACCTCCTGCCGTATGTTTTGTTGTTTATTAGAGTATTCAGGTGTCAACCTGTCATTGTCCAATCAGGGTCTATTAGAGATGAGTATGAGGAAACCTACCGGATTCTGAGAGGATTAAAAAGAGAAACGGAGACGTAAAAGAGAGATAGAGAGACGCTCATCCGCTACGCCTGGTTCTGCTCCATCATACATTTTATCCCGCTCCACTCACCACTCCGCTCAAAAAAAAAAAAAAACGACTTCAACAATGTCGCCTTTTTCTTGTTCCACATTATCCCCATCTGTTACTTTTACAGGAATAGCACACTTGTACGACTTCTCAGTTTCCTTTCTGAAGTACACATTAAACTCCATAGTTTTGGAAGAAAATAGTGTGGGTGTGCGCGTGCAGGTGCAAAGACTGGAGCGACCTTTAAAAAAATTGCCGCTCAACACAAAATCCTTTTGTTCCCCGCTCCGCTCATATGCTCTGACAGGGACTAACGTTAGTTTCACAACTTTGATCATCCGCCACTGGACAGAGGTTGTGAACTAAACAAACAACGTTGCTATCCAGTGTGCGTGTAATCAAAAAGGATGGAGATGGAGAGTGTTATTTTGATCATGTGTTCTTTGCGTAATGGATGTAGAGAACTGTTCAATAACGTTTAAATAGTCTGAGATTATTTCCTTGTGGGTTGCGTAAAAGGATTTTGGAGCTAATAGAGTCGCGTGTGACATAAACGTAGATGGTGCAGTGACTCAGGTTCATGCCAGCTGAACAAATCTATTGCATTGTTATAGCGTTATTGTGAAGTTTAATTAATAGCGCATATATTCATCTGAGAACTGATGATGTCTGTGTGTTACAGACCCTGGCTGTGTGCACTGAAGTGTATGTGACAATAAAGTAGTGAATCTCAATCTATTTATTTATTTTTAAAATGTATTTTAAATAGGCCTATAGGCTCATAGGTTTTTTTGTCCAAAAATACCAAACAATTTTTTCACAGCACCCCCTGTTCAAAATGACTTCCAGCGGCCCTGGGGTACAAATTAGAGTTAGATTAGAGTAGCAAAATTCAACTGCTCTTAACTCATCCTATAGAATAACATTTATCAGTCATCAGCTCATCATCTGTGTCACCTGTATTGTTACCTGTGTTTGCTTTACTAATTGAGGCGCCATCTTGTGGTTACATAAAAACACAGCAATCCAGGCAACAGAACAGAAAAACTAAAGGCGTCACCTAAACAACAATTCAGTTCAATGTCACCAATTCATAACAGAAGTAACTACTGCACTCAGGTTCAACTCAAGGAGTGAGTAAATGTAAATAATAATAATGTAAAAAGGTAAACACAATTTCACAATCAACAAAAAGTAGAATCACAGTTCAGATTCATTCCAATATATAAAAGAAATAAAAGAACTGAAAGTGAAAGTGTTTCTTTACAGCTTATTGCTGTCTGATATCAATGTTGGTCAAAGTCCAGTCCAAAAGCTTAGTGTGTATCCATGTCCGTCCAAGTGTATTCAATGTGTATGTGCTACCCGGGTAGAATGTGTGTGTTTGTTTGTACGCTTGCTCAGATCTTATCTTCAGGAAGATGATGAAGATGGAGAATTCCAGATACTCTCTAACCCTGCCTCGCATCCCACAGGAAACCCAGAATGTAGATCCAGCAACTCAAAAAACCAATTATCTCTCATCAATTACTGTACAGTATCATATCTCTCTTTAACTCAAGTGTAACTTATAACAAAAGCAATGATGAACTATATCCTGAGACCTTAACAGCTTAGACATCATTGTGTTTTGTTTCCTCTTTTACCCGTATTAATAAATCATGTTACACAACTTATCTCTAATCTCTAATCAATCATGTCTCTCATTCATATTCACCCTTATGTATTTTTAATCATCTCAACATGAACTGAAACACATTATTTATATCAGGAAAAACCCATATGTATACAAATCATGAGCATTAGCCCACATATAGCATATTTTTAACTCTGACTTTAACACTGAACATGGCGCCCAGAAATGTAAAAATTAGCATTACACTAAAAATAAATGCATTTCTAAAACACAACTCAGCATATTAACTCATTTCAGTGTCGCCATAACATTTACAGTCCAATTGGTTTTTGTTGATAAGAAAATTGCTTAATCATAACCACACAGAAAAAATATCATCAATAAGTGAAAATAATGAGCTGTAGCCATCGGCCAATAAGAAGAAGCTCCACTGAACTGAAAGACTATCAGCTGATTAATAATAAGTGCTCCATGTGAAGATGTAAGTCCATTTGTAGAGAATAAGCTCTGTGTATGAGAGCGATGTAATGTCCATGTTTCCATGCTGCTCTGACCCCCCTCCTCCTTTCAGGGTGGAGCCTGCTGGAGTCCGATGGTTGAGACCAGGTCTGAGGAAGTGTAAGTGTGAAAACAAAGCAGCACACATTCAACCATCTTCACACTGTGACATCACTCATTCACAGCTCTGATGTCATCATCAAAGTGTCAATCAATGATCAGATGATAGATCAATAACTGCAGCTGTATTGTGTCTTGTTCTCTCCATCAGATTCCTGTGAACTCACAGTCGACACAAACACAGTGAGCAGAAACATCAAACTGTCTGACAACAACAGGAAGATGATTCATGTGAAGGAGGTTCAGTCATATCCTGATCATCCAGACAGATTTGACTACTGGCCTCAGCTGCTGTGTAGAAATGGTCTGACTGGTCGCTGTTACTGGGAGGTCGAGTGGAGAGGAGGAGTTTATATATCAGTGAGTTACAGAGGAATCAGCAGGAGAGGAAACAGTAGAGACTGTTGGTTTGGAAGGAATGATCAGTCCTGGAGTCTGGAGTGCTCTGATGATGGTTACTCTGTCTGTCACAATAAGAGAGAAACGTCCATCTCCTCCTCCTCCTCCTCCTCCTCCTCCTCCTCCTCCTCCCCCTCTGGTAGAGTAGCAGTGTATGTGGACTGTCCTGCTGGCACTCTGTCCTTCTACACAGTCTCCTCTGACACACTGATCCACCTCCACACCTTCAACACCACATTCACTGAACCTCTTTATCCTGGGTTCGGGTTCTGGTCTTACAGTTCCTCAGTGTCTCTGTGTCCTCTGTAGGAGGGAGAGAGAAACTTTCTCACTGCTGACCAGATAGTTCAGTCTGTACAGGATCACACACAGCTGATGTTAGTTAGTACCAACCTGATGTGTTTACTGTAATAGAGGAGGAAGAGGAGGCTGAAGGAAGAGAAGAACAAAGGATGCTGGGATGAAGGGATCATGTGTGAGGGTAATGTGCAGCCTGCAGACGTAGAGATGAAAGAAATGATAGAAAGAATTGATCTTCTTCTATAACTCTGAGAAAAATGAACATTTTTAGGATCAAATGTGGCTGCTTGTTTTTCAAATCTTCTTCTTTTTGAAAGCACAGTTAGAGGGAAAGTGTTTTTATGACTCAAATATTAAAG